TATGATTTTTAATTGTTAAGTGGGTATTTGAATTTACGTGTATAAACTCATCATAATTTCGTGAATGGAGTGCATTCATTACGTGAGACATACCCAACTTTGGCACTAGCACCCTCGCTTTGGTGGCTCGAGTGTCCGCCTTTCATTCAGACTCGTTTACAGAAACATGAAGCTTAAGATTCTTAAGGCTTAAGGCCAAGTCTCATAAGAAAGCTGAAGCCAAAACACATCATTGAAAAGAAAATTGTGGTGTTTTTGTCGTCTGACACAAAAAATAAATGGAAAAAAATGGTGTTTCCTTCTGGCCTGGTGCACAGGACCATGGTTTTTTATTTGTTACCACAATTTTGTTGAGAATGGTGACATCAATTGGCTTTTTATCCTTGTGCATTTGAATCAATTTTCTCATGAATTAAAATACTTGTATACTTTTTGTGCGTCCCAAAAAAAAAAAAAGAAAAGAAAAAGTACACCACAATATTGTATAATGTTTTTTTTTTTTTTCAATTTTTTGTTTTTATTGAATTAGGAGTATAATTGTAAATTTATTGTGGTGCATTTATTAAAGAGGCATTTACAAGAATATCCAATTTTAAGGGTATGAGTTGAAAAGTATCCACTCATTTGAATTTAGTGTCAATTTGTCTATTATGCCCTTAATGAAAAGCTACATTTTGAAATGGTATTCTAGATATTTTAAATGTCGTTCTTGACATTTGATTTTTTTATCAATTTGTCACGAATTTTGAGAAGTGGCTTCCATGAGAAGTTACATTAAAATAAATTCGGACGACAAAAAAAGAAAAGAAAATATAATACTTGAAAAAATAACGTGAAAACAAAAAATATGATACTTTAAAAAAAAACAAAAAACAAAAAAATCATGTCTCCGTGTCACGGAGACGTTCTCGACATTTGCCTCCGTGTCACAGAGACATTCTCGACGTTACATATATCATTCTCGACATTTGAACACCGTTTCATTAAAAAAATATGAAAAAATTACGCCTCCGTGTCACGGAGACATTCTCGACGTTACATATATCATTCTCGACATTTGAACACCGTTTCATTAAAAAAATATGAAAAAATTACGCCTCCGTGTCACGGAGACATTCTCAACATTATATATGTCATTCTCGACATTTGAATACCGTTTCATTAAAAAAAAAATGAAAAATTTACGTCAAGTGCCTCCGTGTCACGGAGACATTCTCGACATTACATATGTCATTCTCGACATTTGAACATCGTTTCATTTGTCTAGAATGACATTTTATTTTGAACATGACATTTCTCTATATTTGAAAATGTCGTTCTCGACATTTCTGAGTCAACGAAAAATACAGCATTTATTGTGATTTGACATGTATACTTTTGAAATAAATATGACAGGTTATGTGTCAAAATTTTATTTGCCAATAACAATTTTGTAAAAATGTCCATTTTTTTGTCTTAGTGTGAAATTAAAAATTGTTAATAAGGGTATTTTGGTCTAAATTTTTCCAAATTGGACATTTTTGCAATGGTTTGCAATAATGGACATTTTTGCAAATGACTAGGTAAAAATGAACATTTGATGAAATTTCCTTAAAAATATATTTTAATTATGATGGGATTATAATGTGGTGTAGTAATTAAAATTTATAGTTGTAATGTAATTACCCAAATAAAATTGTCAAAACGTTGTCATTTTTTCTTCTCCTTGCATTAGATCTATTGCCCTAACCCCTTCCACTTCGTCTACCTTATCTTGTGTCTGTTAAATTTCCCCTGCATTATATCTGTTGCTCTCATCCCTTTCTATTCGTTGCTTTCTCTTGTTTGTATTCAAGAAAATGGCAGATTTGTTCTTGGTTCTTCACCAGATTTTTTCTTGTAGTCTTTTACTATTTTTTTTTCAGTGTTTGTAGGGTTTTAATTTAACTTTTTTTTTGGGGTCGGTTCTGTGCCAGAACAAACCTAATTGTGCATGTTCGTTTTATCTTGGCCAAAGATCTTTTGGTTTTAGGGTTTTATTCTGGTTTTAGGGATTAGTTTTTTTAGTTTATCCTGTCGTTTCTGTAGGGTTTTATCTTTTCGTTGGTGCCAATTTTGTGGAAGAACGAATCTGATTGTGTTTGTTCATTTTCTCTTGGCCGTGTTTTAGGGTGAAGTTCTAGTATTTTGTAGATCTGTTCTTTTGGTTCTTTTTAGAAAATGGTAGGGAGATTCGGCATGGTACTCACTGAACCTCAGTAATATCTAACAAGTAGAATTTTATGTCAGTCATATAGAACGCCAACACATAGAAAAAGGGCCGAAGAAACCAGTCCATAACTTGTCAGGGGAGGAGGTAAGGCATCACAGCAAAGTGGGAAGGTTCTTTGATAGATGTATAGGTAGATGAAAATGATGACAGTATTTAAAACAGTCCAGTAATAAACTGTCATGTGGTATTATGTCAACCTATCTATTAACAAAGGTAGCAGTGTAGCATGGTTGAAGGGTTAAAGGAAAGAAATTAGAAGCAAATAATAGTAACGGGAATTCGAAATTGAGGAAATCGAAACGGTGTTGGCGTCGTATCGTTTCTTAATTTTAATTGTAAAAGTGTGAGCACACTTTATGGATGCAAACACCTTTTTTCATATTTACTTACAGTTTGAGTGGGAGAGAGATTTCAGTTGGAAATTTTGTTAGAAATCATTCCCTCTTGTTCTCTAAATTTCTGCATTTGTCCCTGCCCATTCTCTTTTCATTTCTATCTAAACCCAATTCAGTTAATAGAATTCCAGCTTGGGTTATTGATTCGCAGCTGATTGTCTTCAACTGCGTTTTGAATTGGGTGAGAATCAACTAGTTTTGGGTTGAGACTTAGCTTAACAATTACATTTAGTATCATAGCAGGCTCACATATTGAGACCCTTGTTGGTGTATGGACGCCCGTCGCTTGGGTGCTGGGGCTGGGGATTTGTTGTGGTACCGATGGAACTTATGGGGTTTTGAATCTTACATAAGAAGTATGGGCTTTCTTTGTGTGGTTATGTAAGGTTTTAATTGTATTGACTATTCTTTAGACAAAAGGAATATTATTAAATGAGTTGTAAAAGTCAAGGAGTATGTTGGTAACTTGTATAGATGAGTTAGAAGTCCTTAGGGTTGTCTATGGAACAAAGGAAAAAGTTTCCATAATTATGTTAGTCTGTCGCTGAGCTGTTGCTCGAGTATCCAAAATAGTAACATTGTTGCTAGCCTGTTGCCTGCCTATCGCTCGAGCAGAACTCCTGTCGCTGGGCTCTTCCTCGAACGATAGAGTTTCCCAAGAAGCCCTAATTTACGTTTTTCAAGAGTTTTATATGGCCCATTCTACCCAAAACCTCACTACTATATATACATACGACCCATTTCATGAAAAGGGTGATTGATCATTATATTCTACATTCTTAACATCTTTTGGAGAGAAAACAACAATTCTACATCTTTTACATCCTAAGATCAATCAACCACAAGTTGGAAAAAAATCAAAATCACTTAATCCAAAAACACCCACTTCCTAAACATAATTAGGAAGGTATTTTTTCAATAGCTTTCAAATGTTGCTGAAGATTGAGAGAGGTTGGACTAGAAGTACAGAAACAGTACAAGAACATGGTGTTCTTAGTTATCCACAAGATATAACAATTTCAGAAGATTGAGAATAAGTGTGATTGAAGCACGTTTTAGTGAGTACAGGAATTAGAACAGCGAGTCTAGTAGGTTTTTCAGGTTGGATCATATTCTAAATTTTTATTTTCAATAATAGAAGTCATTGGCTTGGTCCTAAACTTTTTAATCCCGTGAAGGATTTTCTTTGTCAACAAATCTAGAGTTATTTACTACTTTGTTGACTATTGTGGCAATTCAACATATGTAAACTTGATTTGATTGACTAAACATCTAGAACAATTAAAAAGTGTTTTGTTGCTTTTAATTCAGTGTTATTCACTTATTCATCCCCCTCTGCATGATTTTAGGATCGAACTAGTAACTTTCAGTTTATATAGGCTTCGGCTCTCCAACGTCAACGGTTAGCTTTTTGAGATATAGTTCTTGCCACCCTTTCGCTATTACTATGACCAAGGTGTTTCTTGACAAAATTTTTGTTTAGAAACGGTACCATGCCGGAGCCTTGGTGCAAACAGTGAAAAAGGTGAGCATGATGTGGATTAGTAGTGCATGGATGGGATGACAAATGGATGCAATGCAACATGCAGGCTTGAAATTCTATTAAGTACAAGGCTGACTGATTATTCTATCATACAGACCTGTAGTCCACTCTCAGTGGTTACGGGTGGTTATAGAATTTAGTCACATGGTTAGCAGTTAGTCATGTTCATTTGGTGAAACAGCATTATTAGGCAATCAGTGCTGTACCTAAGATTTTCGGGATCTATGGCAAATTTTAGAAGTTGAGCATCCAAATCATAGATGCATTCAATTATTTTTGTTAATAAGAGTTTCGCATAACTAAGTCCATTTACTTAAAACTCAATAATAAAATACCATACAAACATTCGAAATATTTATACAGTAATCAAATAATGGGATTGAAAATGTTTCAAATAATCATTAAAATATTATTAGGCTTACAATTTATAATTTGACCAAATAGTTATCATTTGGATAACATTTTCCTCATTTTTGCAAGATACTTTTATGAATCTAGTAGCTCTTACGCCCAGAGGTAGAACCACGTGTTTTAACTTGAAACTCATGGGTAGAAATGACAGCTGCATTACGAAAAAAATAATAAAATTACTTTTCTTTTCTAACCTTAAATGAAAAAAGGCAATGAAGGATTATCGTAGATGTAATAGTAACCCAATCCCATTCTACTGTACAAAATAATGCCACTTTTATTTATATTTATATTTTTTTTACTTTCTAACTTGAAATAAAAAAGGCAATGAAGGGTTACTGTAGATGCAATAGTAACCCAATCCCATTCTATTACTGTACAAAATGCAAAATGACGCCGTTTTGTGTCCTTACAAAGGGATGGGTTTTTTCTCTCTGTATGTATTCATTTTCGTCTGCTCACTTCATTGCCTTGTTTTTGTCGATTCACTCTCGGTCTTGGAGAAATTTGTGGAGAATCTATCCATGTTCCTTTTTTTTTGGCTCTATATTTTGATCGAAGATCTACCCTCTGAAAATTAGTTTCTTTCTATATATAGGTGTATAGTGTTAGTCTTTCACATCTTAGATTCGAAGATTTATGGTTTCGACGTGTTTGTGGTAAATTTGTTTTTGATACCTTTTCTTATGATCTAGCCTTTGGTAGATATTTTTTCTATGCATAAACTACACTGCATTGCTTCTTTCTCTTTTCCAGATTAGGCTTGAGGATGTAAGGTTTTGATCTTTTGGGGTTTCATCTTTTTTCAAAGGTGAGTTATTACTGGTTTATTGTACATGGTTGTTGTTTTATGTTGGGTTATTTTACGTTTGTGCAGAATCTAATATCTCTTATATTTTTCAAAATCGTGACTTTTTTTGTGAGGTGATCTGAAGGTGCATCTTTAAGCATGTGGAGTTTTTCTTCTTCTCGTCTTGGATTTTGGAAATGCAAGGACTCTATGGTATTTTCAACTTTATTTCTTGTTGCTCAAATCATGTAAAAAAACAGTTTACATGTGTGGTGTTCAGAAGTAAAGGGAAATTTTCATTTTTTTGTTCTTTTCCTTTCATAAATGTTCTTTCAGTCAGAAAATTGTTGAAGGAATGTGTTCAATAAGAAATTACTTGTTGAAGATTGGGGTTTTCGTTTATATTGCGGTTCTTTCTAATTACTTGAACTGATATGTTGTATCTGTTTCAGTTGTGATGCTTGTCCGAATCTGTATTTTGTTGAGTTGATATGTGATTTCACTTCACTTCATCACTACTATATAAAAAGGGCAATGAAAATTTTATTGTAAATGCAATAGTAATTCAATACCCTCCAATCCTCTTACAAACCGACACCGTCTAGCAAATGAATGATGCCCTTGTTTGTTGCAATTTTGTACTCCTAGCACATCATATGTTATTGTACACAAAAGCTTTTTACGTCCAATCCCATTACTATCCTTTACAGGAAGCAAAAATTCCGGAAGATGAACAAGTCAAAAGTATATGGTGGGATGTTGAAGGCAAATGGTGGTATTTGGGGAAAGTTAAAAATTGCACAAATCAATTCAAAATGTATGTCAGCATGTGGGACCCCATGTTTGTAGAAAGAATGCATTTTTTTGTCTAGTGAATGACATCTTTTTTTTTTTATTTGCTTTCGTACTATTGCTTTTCTGTCCTTAGACACGTCATCTTCTTCTTTGGTCTTTGTGCTCTCCATTTTTTTAACTTTGTATCTGCCACGTGCAACATCTCACTTCTTTCTTCAGCTTTTCTCAATTTGTTCCAGAAAATTACCTTCCCTTGTTCGAAAATTTGCAGAAGAACCCAACAAAATTGTGGAAAATTGAGATTTATACATGTAAAATTAGTATCCTGAAACCTTTCTTTTCCTCTTTTTGTGTGCGGTTGTTCCATTTTCTTCAACCCTGTAGCTTTTGTGTTCGATCTTTTTGTCTCTGTCTTTTATTCCAAGTTTTCCGAAACCTCTCTAGAAAAGTGGAATATTTGCCCAAAAATTGGTGATTGGCGACATGATGTATGTCAATTTGATGTTTGCCTAGATATTTAGCGTAGTTTTCTCGATGATTTTAGGTTGAAATCTTGTATATGTTTGAGCCTTTTTTCCTTCCCCCCCCCCCCCCCCCCCCCCCCCCCCCGACATGATGTATGTCAATTTGATGTTTGCCTAGATATTTAGCGTAGTTTTCTCGATGATTTTAGGTTGAAATCTTGTATATGTTTGAGCCTTTTTTCCTTCCCCCCCCCCTCCCCCCCCCGCTCCCAAGAGTACAGGGTTCCATTCTATTTTTAAGTAGGTGGAATCAATGCCAGTAGCAGCGCCATCTGTGCTGGGTAAGATTTTTGAATTAAATTTGTTTTCTTAGTTGATTCTTGACGGTTTTGAGTACAAATTTCCTTCTTTTTTAATCGATTCTTCTATTTTAATGTTCTAGAAACCAGTAGTACACAATAGTAAATTTCGAGAAAATCATAATAGGAATTTTTTAGCTATGATGAATAAGGATATATTGGTATTTTTTAGCACATAATTTGGATAAAATAAAAACTGTTGGGATGTACTGGTGTTGGATTTTAACTGGATAAAGTTATCAGAGATTCCAATTGAATTTTTGAAGAATAATTTAATACAGATGACTGCTAGGTTTCAGATCATAATCCATCTTTTCGAATGAGTCTGCCCAATTTTATCTCATGATTACTTGTAAGGCTGCCCCAAAATCAAATTTATAAGGAATTTTTCACTGAAGTGCAGCCCATCATCCAATTTTGGTCATTTAGTACTCTGAATTTAAAAACAGCAAGAAACTGGGGGTACTTTTAATTTTGACCCGGTCAAAGGAGCAAAATTTCAGTTTGACTTTCAAAAGAATGAATATTATGACATTGACCTCTTGTATGGTAAAAGACAAAGATACCCTTAAATGTTTTGTACAATTACAAAATCATATATTGTTAAAAGGACTATACTACTCTTTTACTTAATAATTGAAAATCAAACATTTTCCCACTTATAAAAACTTCAAAACGAGCTTCCAACACAGAAAAAACTCTCATCTTTTCATCTGCTTGAACTTTAAAATCTAGAAGAACTTTGGAACGTTGAAGCTGAAATTTTTTTTCACATCAATTACTTCAAATCGGTAAGTACATTTAATCATGTTTAATTTCATTTTAAGTAAATTAGTATACGTTAAATAGAGAAATTTTATGTCGACATAGATTTTTTTTAACAGAACCTATCAAAAAAAAATTAAACGGATGTATAACTTACGTTTAAATTACGCATGCTTAATTTCGTTTTTAGAACGGTATTCTCCTACGCCAAACTGGTTTAGCTTAACAAACAGTCGGAAATAGTCTGAAACAGCCGGCTGTTGGATGTTTAACAGTCGGAAACAACAGCCGGTCGTTAGGCTGTTTAACAGCCGGCTGTTAGGCTGTTAAATAGCCTTCGCTGCAGCTGATTTTTTGCCTTTTTCTTTCTTATAATTAATATTTGAAGTTGATTAAAACCATTTCCTCATGCATATATGATAATCCCCGTGTGTTATTTCGATGATTTCTAATTAAATGAAAATAATCGGTGGGAATGGAGATGGACGAGTGACATACGTGGTTGTATTGCAATTCCCGTAACAAAAAGTACACCATATTTAGAAATGTACCACGATTTGCAAAATAAGCTGAATGTCGATCAATCTCAATACAATATGCAATTGAGATATCTATTCAACGGTTACGGGGATTCATCCCTTCCGATGCCACCGGTATTCGTTACGAATGATGCTGAATTGAATTATCTATTAGAATTGAATAAAATGCATCGGACTCCGACTGTTCTTGGTGTGACTTTAATTACGAAGGTTGTTATCGAAGGTGAACATGAAGATTCGGATAGGTCGGATAACAATGATCGAGGTTTTTAGGAGACAGTGGAGATAGTTCCTGCGGATGATGTGGGTATTCCTAAGACAGTTGCTTCTGATCGTGATGTCGCTGTTACGCGCAGAATTCCGTCAACAGTTGAAGACAATGAAAACATAAACGACTTTACAAATGAGAATTTGATTGCTTTATCCCGACAGAGACACGAGCTTGGTGGGAGCTCACTGGTTGGAACAAGTGGACCGTCCTCGAATTCTTTCCGTGTGGCTCCCGATGATGATGACTTGCAGGTCGGGCAACTGTTTGAAACCAAGAAAGATTTGCAGGAAGCTGTGTACCGGCTGGCATTAAAATATAACTTTGAGTTCAAGGTAAAGAAATCAAACAAGTCATTGTTGACAGTTGCTTGCGTCGAAGACAGTTGCAATTGGCGCTTGAGAGCAACTTAGATGGACACGAATGAGTGCTTCGTAATTCGCAAGTATTTACGGGAACATACTTGCGAAGTGGGAATTCTTCGAAACGATCACAGGCAAGCTCGAGCATGGTTTATTGGTCGACAGATAATGCACAAGTATCAGGATCCACGGACGATCTACAGACCTTCAGACATCATTAACGACGTCCGTCGAGAGTACGGAGTGGTCATGAGCTATCAGAAAGCGTTGAAGGCCAAAGAATGTGCGTTGGAGGATTTAATGGGATCGGCTGAAGAGAGCTATGCTAAATTGGCTAGGTATTGTCATAACATGGGGACAACTAATCCTGGCACGACATTTTTTATTGAGACGGGGGGTGATAATTGTTTTAAGTATTTCTTCATGGCTCTCGGACAATGTATTCGGAGTTTTCGAAATGCAATGCGACCCGTAATTCTAGTTGATGGTACGACTCTGAAAGCTAAATATCAAGGTAAATTAATTATTGCTACATGTCAAGATGCCAATATCCAAATTTACCCTATTGCATTCGGCATAGTCGACAGCGAGAATGATTTGTCCATGCGTTGGTTCTTTTCTAAACTGAGGGAAGTGATCGGGGAAGTCGAAGACCTTGCCTTTGTAACCGATCGAGGACAGTCTATAATAAATGGTATCGCTGAAGTATTTCCCGAGGCACATCACGGGTATTGCATGTACCATATACAAGGTAATTTGAAGACTAGGTATCGGGGCATCAGAGAGTTGCACTAGCGTGTTGGCCCCAGCTCAAGCGGAGAAACTGTTTAAGGCGGCAGAGGTTGCGAGGAAATTGAATGTGGAAGCACTAGATGAGTTTCGCTTCTCCGTGCAATGTGCACGTAATACGGCATATATGGTGGACTTGACTGATAACACGTGCACTTGTACGAGATTTCAGTTGGAGAGTTTTCCATGTGAGCATGCTGTTGCGGTGGCCATGTATCGAGGTTTTGCTGCGAGAACGTTGTGCTCTTTGTATTATACGACTGAGTCTTGGAGAACAGCATATGCCGAGACTATATTTCCTCTGCCGAATGAAGCCGAGTGGGAAGTTCCCGAGCACATTCTTCCATTTCATAATTTGTTACCACCAGCAGTTGAACCGCGTGGTCCTGGACGTCCAAGTACATCTAGAATACCATCTACCGGAGAGTTTCCTCGACCGCGTAGGTGTGACCGCTGCAGAGCCGTAGGGCATACTCGACAATTTTGTACCAGTTAAATTTCCCTAAATGACGACTAGACAGGTACGTGAAATGAATAATATTTCCTTTTACTATACACTGTTCAATATTTGTTATTTATAAATCTTCAATATACAAAAAATAGTTGCGCACTCGGCATACGGGTAAAATAACAAAGAATAATGAAATTTCCAATTTGAATGTTATATTACATTGAACACAAATTTACAATTATTTCAGAATTGCAAAAATAATTAAAATTTCAATTTGAACGTTATATACATTGAACACAAATTTACAATTATTTCATAATTACAAAAATAATTAAATTTACAATTGAAATGTTACATATGTATAACTGAAATTTATGAGTCAGCATTAAATTCGAACAAATCACATACTAGCTTCTTTCTCCAGTTCTGTATCCACGACTGATTGATTTCATCAACCTTATGTCCTATACTTAAAAATTCAACGTACTTAATGGCAAATATGCCACAGTCGCCGCTGCAATTGAACAAGAATGAATCAGTTTAGTACTGTGTAAATAAAAACTAAATTTGAAAGATGAAAACAACAACGTTCAAACACTTACCTTACGGACTGTCGCGCTGTCGTCGTGTTCCGAACGATCCGCAATCTGTCCTGTACATTTATCCCCGCTCGTCTGGCCATCATAGGAATAATGACAGCCACGGACTCCAGATTTTGCTCCAACTGGCCCTGTGTCAAATATGAATGATCTGGGTCGTACACATATATAGTTGAGTCAGCAAAAACGATCTCCAGCGTAACATAGTGTTTATTGATGCATGCTGGAATGTACATATGTGTACAACCCTCCCATGATTTTCCCCCGACACTCGGTGACAGTCCTATCACCCACTCAAGCATATATTCTGGCACCGTGTACTCGTTACCCATATGTGCGAGCGACTGATACTCTATGATAACGGCACCTAGGAACTCGGTGTTTAATATGACTCGACCATGGACATCAAATGATTTTGGATGTCTTTGAGCTCGATCTCGTAGCAAGTCCATGGCCAGGTCGATGTGCTGTAGCAGGAAACACCGAAAAAGTATGAGTTATTCA